ATTTGATTTCTTTTTTTATTAAAAAAAGAGTCCTTTCTTATTTTATTTTTTTAAAATAAAATTATTAAAAAAACTACACAATTACAAAGTGATGTGCAAGAGGTGTCTGGATTCGAAACCTCTTGTTGAGGCGCCACAATGTTAATACCAATACACTACTTCATTATTAATAACAAATATTGGCATCCTATTATATATAAACTTTTATCAATTTTATTATCCCCTTTTTTTTTAAAGCATGACCTGAACTCGGCTGAGTTACTCAGACTCGGCTGAGTCAATTTTCTGAACACTGATTACAACCTTCTATATGCAGGCATTTATACAATACAAATTTTAGATACGAATAGGGGATATATGCCCGAGTGAAAGCAGGAAACAAGGTAGTGGACCCTTTGTCCCATAAAGTCCTTGGGGCCAGCAAAATCCTTGCTCCAAAACCATGGGAACTGGTCGCAACACAACTGCTCTCAGGATTTTATTGTTAATTATTTTAGGACTCAACCAAATTGAATTGCTCGAATTGGGCTCAAGACCCTGGAGAGTCCAAATCCTAGTCCTTGCTTTTGAAAGACCTCTTCCAAGTTCCAACATGCTGAGTATAGGAGTGAAACAAGGAAATTGGACTTGCTAGGGTTCCATGCACTAGACAATGCATAAATCTAAATTGTAACTAGTTTCACATGTAATGCAACGTACCATAATGTGTTCAAAATAGTCCATTCTCAAAACGATCAAAACCCTGTCTGCGCTCGAAATCGACAAGTTCAACTAGGCACCCATTCTGGTTTTAGTGGCATGGCCACTAAAGTACCTCAAAGCAATCTAGATGTCACATTTGGGTGACATTTTCTGTAACTCTAGAAAGTTGTAGGTGAAAGAGAGGTTGGTTAGTGGTGCTCAACAAGAAAAGGGAGAGGGATAGCAATGGGAGGAAATGATATATTTAAGGCACTAGTTACCCAAAGCTATGGACATGAGACACCCTTTGTGATGTTGCAGGCAAAAGGGGCTTGTTTGTTAAGAGAAGTTTCCAATCGCAATTCTTACAGACACTACTTGGGTTCTGACGCACTCTAGGGGACCAAATCGTATTAAGAATCGCTGACTGAGGCTCCGATTTGCTCAAGTTACCCAGACCCAGGATGGTGCCAGTTCAGAAACAAGGTCAGTCTGACTCAAGTCAAATATTTCTTATATTTTCCTTCATTGAGAGTCAACCGAGTTAGATTGACTCATGCTCAGCACACTGTTTAGCCCCTCTTTGAGTCCGGGTTTAAAAACACTGATTGAAATGCTTCCAATTTGACTAGGTGCCTTCAAAATGTCGAGGTACCCTGACATCTCATTCGTGCTCACCCAGTTTGTGCTCCCGTTCTTAATTCATGATTTGCATTACGATTGCTTCACAGTCAAATCAAAAGTGAAATTATCCCATTTTGTATGGATTCATGGGGGGCCAACACAAGGGTAGTTTATAAATACAGATCTTTCTAAGTCACTGGTACCCTAGGCAAGGATATGGTTTGATAGTGGATGCCCATGTTTATGAATTGGAGTTCAAAGCAAGTTACAAAAGAAACAGGCGAAAGTTAGACACTGTGTAATAGTAATTAGACAAAAGGTGGTCTAGCCTTATTAAACAGTGAGGGCACTAAACCAGTTCGAACTTTTTTTTGTTTTGGGTAAGTCAAACCAGTTTGAATTTGCCCTGCATATAATTCACTTCAGCGCTTATTAAAGAAACCAGTTTTAGGGGACTCACCCATCCACTCAGATTCAGGCGAGTAATGGCCTTGCCCTGTGGAGGAGGCTGAATTATTGTGTGTACCACTCGGGGGTACATAAAAACAATTCAAAAAAATCTGAAAATATAATATGGAATATGACAGTGTTCTGTAATTTTTATATAAATAATCTGGAATTTTGGAAAATATTGGTGAGTTGTTTGGTATAATCCCTATTTTTTTAGATTTTTTAAAAGGGTGCGGTTTGCATAAAGCCGAGGTTCTAAATAATCAAAGTAAAGCGCACTTTCAAAGTACTATTTTTCAAATAGGGGAATCAATGGACACAGAGAGAATATGCCAAATCCTAACCTTAATCTCCTTTAAGAGCTCATTATATTGGCTCCAAAGTCAACCACATAATATTAGTGAAATGTAGAAAAGAGAAATTAAATAAAACAAAACAATAATAAAATATAGTTATCATATTTGAATTGGTCAGTCCACTTGGTCAATCAACTAATCAGTGTTTCGGCTATGTTCTAAAGCAAAAATGTGGCTCGATAAAAATAAGTTATTGATAAATTTTGGCACGTCTATCCATTCAATTTTGATTAGTTTAGCTAGCTAGATAAATTGAATAATTTTTTTATAATATATTTTATATTTTTAAACTATTATGTTTTTTTTCAACCAAAAGTTATAATAAATTTGATTTGACCTATCCCTTACTAATTCGGTGGCCAATTAAATCCTTCGTAATAACAAAAACAGCCATTCAAATGCTGCCACGACTCTTACATCCTTCGTAATAACAAAAACAGCCATTCAAATGCTGCCACGACTCTTACAGGAGCTTATTCTCCATTCATTCCCTTGAATATAACCCATGTTAAGACAAAAGCCAAGGTTGAAAGATACATTTAGCAGCAAAAAATGTGATTTACGTTAAGCATACAAGCTGCTCGCACGGGAGCATGCTGTATATTAAGTCCTTAGGGCTAAAGAGCTACTTGACCGTATTTTTTGTATATAAAATTTTGGAATCCACCTAATAATCACTAGATGATTATTTTAGATCTTTCCATCCAATAATTGGATATTCCTCATTTAATCTTGGGATGTCAAACTTTCAAGCACATACAATGTGATATGAATAGTAGAGGTACGGCCGGCATGTTTCGATCAGAAATCGAAACCACCCACAGCAGACCATTCTCCATTCCTGTGTCTTTCTCTTTTCTTTTCTTTTCTTTTCTTTTTTTTTTTTTTTTCAAATGGTTACATCCCCAAGCTTTGTAGTCCCAAAAATACTTCCATCTTCAATTTTACCTAAGGGAGGAAATAGACAGTACGCTCCCATGGGAGCAGCAGATCTTGTGGCATGCTTCAAAGTCTATGTAGTGACTCCTCTTTTACACTCGAAAAAGACGTGAAAGGAACATATATACATTTCACTATTTCCATTGTAGTTATAAACTATAGGTTAAAGCATATTGAAAGTTCACTAAATAACAACTTTGGGAATCTTAATTGAAATGACGTCGAGGAAACTTACGAAAACAAGTTGTTGTGCCTCTAGAATACCCTTTCAACTAATTATCTCAATCTTAAGATATACTGAATTAGAAAAAAGGGATTTAAGTCATAAAAATAATAGATCTTGTAATGCATTATTTGGATCCTCTATTTTCAAGATTTTTAAGTGTTTGAAACAGTGATTTAAAAAAAAAGTTGGCATGGAATCACCCGATCTAACCTGAAAATGAGTACCCCACGTTTATTCTATCAAAATATAGGAAATTACCCAGGTCTAGAAGAAAATCGGCGATTTGCTATAGTAAAATAACATTTTGCTACAATAAAAATACCGATTCATTGGTCCAAAACAGTTTGACCAGTTCACTATTTTTGCACATAATTTTTTGCCGGTTCATTACTTTTTCCATACAATAAAATGGCGATACATACCACTACTTCACCGATCTGGACCAATTTTTGAGTTGCCCAATCCACGTCACCGATCTATTTTTTAGATCATGGGTTTATCGATATACTTGATATGCACCATTTAGAGCGCTTGAAATTCCATAATAAAGAGTAACAATTTTCAAGACCGAAACTGCATCTTGGACACAGTTTGGGGGTGCGCTATACTTTTGATTATTGAGGGTTGACACCTTATACAAACCGCACCCAAATCCATACAATCTTGCACGACTCTTCTCTTATTTTAACAGTATTTAGATCATGATGGTCCAACTTGCACAACACATACAGATTCTTACATACTCTTCAACACAAAAGAGAAAAATTTACATAGAACACCATTAAAATGGCACTAAAATATATACATTTGCTTTATTTCTTTCTCTTTTCTTGGCCTTGCCCACTGCCACAAAAATGGTACCTGACCATAAACGAATCTTCACAAAACCTTGTGCAAAAAACTCCAACTGCTAGATAAATACAATAAAGAATAGGAATTTTCCAATCAAATAAATAAATTAAAATAAACACGAGTTGGAAGCATCGCCAAATTACGTGCCCCACCATTCCAAACCAAACCAAACACAAACCAAAAAAGAAACATAATTCAGAGTCCCTACGCATCATCTACCTGCTTTATTTGTCATTGAAACCATCAAAATATCAAATAATCGGGCCTCAAATTATTAGAGAGAGACTCTAAGATTCAATCATAGAGAGTAATACAGGAGAGGGAAAGAGACCCTTAGATTCATCCACTAGAATACGAGGATGAGTTCTAGGGAGAGAGATTGGGTGATTTATGGACAACTTGATTTTAGAGAGAGAAAGGAAGTGGCTCTAGATTATGCTGGATGACAGAGAGAGAGTTGACTGAAAATCTTTACGATCAAAGTTCATCAATCGATGGAGAGAGATCAAATTGGCGTTTGAGAGAGAGAGAGAGAGAGACTTACCAGGTAAGCTATGTTTCGATCCATTGAAAATTGAAGGAATAGTGATCAACTGCCACTAAAGAAATCAACAAAACTTCAACCCAACCAAAAAACTCTCTCAAAAACTTGAAACCCAATCTCAGCATTTAGCTCGAAGAAGCCCTCACAAGCCTGTCACAGTACCTCAGATCAAGAGAAATTTGTCTCTCCAATTGCATTCTCCTGTAGAAATTGGCTATGTATTCATCTGCCTTCTGATCGATATCAGGGGCACCTGGGCTCATTCCTGCCCCTGGGCTTAATCCCCCTTCCACATCTGTGCACTCAATGAGCCCAGCTGGTTCCTTTAAGCTCAACTGCCTCCTGCTCAAAACCCTAGCTGCTAGAATTCTCAGTTTTTTCACGTCGAGTGATAGCAAAAACTTCACCTTTTGGATTGCGCTCCTCAAACGCCCCAGCAAGAACCACTTTCCAGGTCCCCCCATCTTCAGAGCCTCGCCCTGAAAGAGGGTTTTTAAGAGAGAGAAAACTATTGAAGAGAGACTTTTTGGAGAGAGAGAACTTTGTAGGGACTTTGAGCGAGAGATTAACGCGAAGAAGGACTTCTAGTGGGAGAGAGGGCTTATGATATAATATAATAGGATTGAGAAAGGGAAGAGTAGTGTTTCTTGGGCGGTTTGGGGAACTTGCTTTGCAATTAACGTGGGAGAAGCGTGAACGATCCAAGTACCGCGTTTTGGAGTCAAAACAAGAGAAACGTTTTCGAGAGAGAACGTTTGTAGAAGGTTGACGCCCTAACAATCAAACTAAGGCTCACCTCATAAATTCACTAGAAGAAGTCATTTTTTATGACAAAAAAACCTTTAAATTGGATCATCTCGACATTGGGATAGATATATAGACGTAAAAAATAAATTGAAATGCAAGTATTGGAAATAGTGCATCTTGTAATGCATTATTTAGACCGTCAATTTTTAAGTGTTCATTGATACGCTCGATCCATGCCATTTTAGAAGTTTTAAATTTTATAATTAAATACGAAAATGTATTTTTAAGCTATTATAATGATTTTTGGTATTAAAATGACATCTTTGACACTAATTGAATATGTGCATATTGTTTAGGGCCGCGGCGTTATATAGACCGCACCCCTTTAGAGAGAGACGTTTTAGTTTTGGTCTTTGTTAATAACGGAAGCAATCGCAACTTTAGAGAGAGAGAGAAGGGGGAGGGAGGGAGGGAGGGAGTTTAGTTTCGGTCCTGTCCTTTTTTAATGGAAAGCCACGACAACTTTTGAGGGAGAGAGTGTTTTAGCTTTAAAGCGTCTGTTATGCTGCCTAGGGAGCATAGTATACACTTACTTCCTCAGCCAAAACACTTTTTTTTGGGAGATTGTTGTTTATTTGAAATTTCAGGATCCATCTAATTATGCCGTGATTATTTTCAAAGAAAATTTTTAGATTTTTCAATTTCTGAATGTCCATATCATTCCCACCAAAAATTGTATGTTTTTATTGTAATGTTGGATGCCATTTTTTTAAGAACATAGAGAGTAAGAGTTAATTTTCTACTTCTTTGAGGTTGGTTGCCGATCACATCCCCAAAATTTGATATCTAAAAGATATTTCTACTATCAATTCTCTATGAGGGAGTAAATGGATAACATACTCCCACAGGAGTAGTAAATCTTTTTTGGCAGTTTTGATATGTCAACTTTTGAGACTTCTGTGTTGGTCTTTTTTAAAGGTGTAACCTTTTATGAGAAAGAGGCTTTTCAGGGTTGGTCTTTTATAAAGATGTAAACTTTTGATGAGGTATATTCATCATTCACTCGCTGGATTCAGTTATGGCTATTTGCAGTTAGAGAGAGAGATGAACATTTAGTTTTGGCCTTTGTTAATGGAAAATAACAATATACTTGATTTTTAATATTTTAACATTTACTATTTTTAAAATCAAAAGACATTGGTAAAGTTTAAAGTAGTTGAACTCTTATGTGGATTTCTATAAGTTTCCTAACGCATTATTCACTCGCCCAATTTTGTTGCTGTAATTTTCATGGTAAGGCCCGAGTCGAACGTTTAGCCATCTAATTTTGTCCCCAGCTCGGGACTGGGTTAAATTTGCCTTTAAGTTTTAAGTTACGTCAGAAGTGTTTTTATTGTAGAACCATTGTCCTTAGGATGGTATAAGGTTATGGAACTTTATCATTTTAAACTTGAGCAAAATTTATGTAGATATTTGAAAACAAATTAAAAATAATTGTACGGTCTATAATTTTTCTAATTTTATGCTCAAGTCACCTCAAATTTGATATTACAAACATCGAATATATTTTTTTTTAAAGTTTGATGAATTCTAGGGCGGTATGATGCCTAAATATCGATGTCCTTGGCACTTCAATATTAGAAATTACTGTATTGTCTATAATTTCTCCAAGTTTACATTTAAGTCCTTTTTCATGATTTCCAATTTGCAACTTGGGGAGGGAGGGAGAGAGGGAGGGAGAGAGGGAGAGAGAGAGTTCTTTGAAATCGAAAGCAATTAGGGGCAGTTTGCCCATTAAAAAAAGAAAGAAAATGAGGCCCTTCATTCTAAACTCCTGCAGAAGCATACTGTTCACTTGCTCAACAAGTGAAACAGCTATGTAGGAAGAATATCTGGTTTGAAATTCTAGAAACCACTTAAAGAATCACTACATGATTGTTTTCAAGAACAAATATAGAATTCAAGTTCTCTAACACTTCGATCTAGTTGTCCCAATTGGATGGTCTATGTTCAATTTTAGACTGCTTTTTATCGTTCTTATTAAGAGTAAATTTTCTTTTTCAAAGTTGCACTCTAGGTTGAAGAGAGTACATCACTAGAACTTAACGACTTTAAAACACACCTATATTTACATGAAGGAGTACACCGACAGTATGCTCTCTCGAGAGTGTAAAATCTTTCTGCGATGTCAGTTATCCTAGCCAAAAAGGAAAAAGACGTCGTCAAGAGTCAATATGCCCTTTGTTCAGCAAGGTATGCTAAAACCTGAGAAGTTCTAAAATTGGTTCAAATAAAGTGTTCATTTATTATTTTATTAATTCACATCCCATTAAATCTATATGTTGTTTAAAGACCGACACAATTTCCAATTCGGATTGATGAATCAGATGGGGTATCTATAAAGACCAAACTGGTTTTGAGATGGTATAGCTGGGAGCCTAGTTTTCTCTTAAAACCCCCACTTTTATATTTGGGTGCGGTTTGTATAGGGCCTAGGCTCTAAACAATCAAATTAGAGCTTACCTTCAAATACTATCGAGAAATATGGTTTCAATATTGAAAATCTTTGTGATAGTCTTAAAATATATTTTTATATTTATTTATAAAGTTTAATGCTTCAAAAATAGTTTAGATCGACATATCTATGAGAAATTAAAAATCTCGAAAATTGACGGTATAAAAAAGTGTTAAAAAATACACTATTTTTAAAACTTGCATTCCATTGTTTTCTCTTGTCCATGTATCTTGATGTCGAGATGATCAATTTGAAGATATTTGAGCATCAAAACAATATCTTCGAGTGAAATTTTTGAGGTAGGTTCAAATTTGATTGTTTAGAGCCTCGGCTCTATTTAAACTTTTCCCTTTATATTTTATTTTCTTTTTTTAAGCTTATCCAGTGTTTCTTAAGTCCCCCCAAATCCCCACCTAAAAATCTTTATTTTTATTTTTATTTTATTTATTTGTTAGATCACCGATTCAACCGATCCGAATCGCTAATCCATTGATCCAATACAAGATCTACAGGATGAACTATCCATCCCATCGAATCCAGGTTTTGAAATACTAAGCTATATGATTAAATCTAGTTTGCAATAGGGTGTCACCTATAGCTTCTATCTTTTCCTTGGGTAACTTCCTTTGACTTTTAATTGTGTTTTTTATTTTTGGAGAGTAAGATCTAGGTGTTCAAAAACTTAAAATCCTTTTTTTAAAAAAATAATAATACTCATGTGGTGATACTGAGATGGATCCTAAAATTTTAGAAGGATTCCTCCCAAGTTACTCTTTTACCCAAGGGAGTTCTTGTACAAGATGCTCCTACAGGAGCATGCTATATGCGCTCTATAATTTATATGCCCCTTTATTTTATGCATTTACGTCGCATTTACATTGTTTCTCTTTGATTTTGGAGAAAGTATTGCATTTGTTGGGCTTCTTGGAAGGAAATGTTTCCATGTACATTGAGACAGTTTGCTTTCGTGCTAAAAGGGTCTAAAGCCCAACCCAAGTTACGTAAAATGGGAACGTTGGTTGATGCGTAAATATTTCTTCGGAAAAATATCTACATAGTTAAACATTCTGCAAGAAATTTTTTTGCAAACTTTCTTTTCATCATTTTTGTTGACATGTTTAAAAAGCACTGTCAAATGAATTATGTTGGGTAACTTGTTTGATAATTAAATATATTTTGTAAATATATTAAACCAATACATGTACCATTTAAATATTATAACTAAAAATATATAATTATAATTATTTAAAAACTATTTAAATATTATTTTTAAATATTATTTAAAAACAATATTTAAATAATCTTTTTATATTAAATATAAATTATTATATAATATATAGTAAAATATATATAATATATTATATTATATTAGGGTGTTCACACTATGGAGTAATTTATCATTGTACTCAATAATTTTGAACACTTCTATACCTTTGTTTTGTGTATGAAGCATTTTTTCAACAATAGTATTTTTAGTCATTAAGAAAATATAACGTCATCACCATGGGATGTGACATCACCCACATGGCGTATTAATGCTCCATGTGGGTAATGTCACATCCCATCGAAAAATGTTGTTTTAATGTTGAAAAAATTGATCATCTCAATATTGAGATGTATGAATATGAAAAAGAAAATAAAAGATTTTGAGTCTAAGAAATAGCGTACAACACATTATTTATACCGTCTATTTTCAATATTTTCATATGTTTGTAGATGTACTTAATTTTAACCATTTTTGGAATTTAAAATTTTATAATTAGATATAGAAATAGATTTTTAGATAATCCTAAAAAAAATTTACACCAAAATTACATGTTCATAGAATTTGGAGGTGCACTTTAATTGGATTTTTTAAAGTTGCAACCTTATAGAAACCACACCTATAATATAATAAGTATATGTTTTATATAATATAAAACATAATATATTAGCATATAATATAATCATATGGTTATAGTTTATAGCACATTATATTATTATATATTATAATAATGTAATATATAAACAATCATATAGTATAATACTATATATATAGGTATTAACATAAAATTAATATTATTATATTTTATT